TGCATGTTCAATTTGTCCTTATTCTTAAGTAATCATTTCCCTGGGTATAAAATTTAAGGATATTACTTATCTTCTCTCAGCACGTTGAAAATATTACTTCATTCTCTTGTGGCATCTGTCATTGCTAATAGAAGTCAGTTGTCAATCTAATTAGTGTTTCTTTGGTAATTTGACTTTTAGGCCTGGGTTCTGTAAGAGTTTTTTTTTTTTTTCCTAACTGTTCAATAGTTTCACTACTCTTTGTCTAGGTAAAGATCTATCATTATTTAGCCTGGTTGATACTCAAGTGCCATTTTAACATAAGATTTACATCCTTCTCCAATTATGAAATATTCTCATGTATAATCTCTTCAAAACTTGCTTCTTTAATATTCTTCTCATTCTCTTCTTCTGGAACTTTTTTTTCAATAAAACATTTTTTGGTTATTTTTTGAGAGTGAGAGAGAGAAGGGGAAGGGCAGGGACAGAAAAAGAGAGAGAGAGAGAGAGAGAGAGAGAGTCCCAAGCAGGCCCCACACTGTCAGCACAGAGCCCCATGCAGGGTTTGAACTCAGGAATTTGAGATCATGACCTGAGCAGAAATCAAGAGTTGGAAACTCTTGATGGGGTCCCAATAGTTCATTTTTGCTTTTAATTCCCTTGCCTTTGGAAACGTGTTGAGCAAGAAGTTGCTGTGGCTGAGGTCAAAGAGGTTGTTGCCTGTTTTCTACTCTAGGGTTTTGGGAATCTACTCCCAAACTCCAGAGCATGCTGTATACACTGTATATTAGCCAACTTGACCATAAATTACATTAAAATTAATTAATTAATCAATCAAATAAAATAAAAAGAACTAAAAAAAAAAAAAGAAAAAAAAAGCTTGGAAGCTCAATCGATAGACCCACCCAGGCGCCTCCTTCTTGAAGGAGAATTCTGTTGAAGCTTGCTAATATATGTGTTTTTCCATGTGTTTTTCATATTTAAAGAAAACTGTCTGTGTAGTTTTCTGCATGAGTCAGTACTGTCTTCCAACCTGCGAAGTCCCTCTTCTCTGGTATCCAGCTTACATTTATTTTATCTATTGACTTTTTGACAACAAAATTTTGTTATTTTGAAGATTTCTAAATGGTTATTTTTCAAATCCATCTACTCTTTTTCCGTTTTTGTTTATTATCTTATGTGTTTCATATTTTCTTGTTCTATCTAGAGAGAAGCTATTCTTTTACCTCTTTGGACACGGAATATACAGTTTGAAAAGGGTTTTTAAGATTGCTTCATAAAATTAATTTTATTTGGAATGAATTCAATTTTTTGTGTGTTCGTCTGTGGTTGTTTTTGAGGGAGAGAAAACGCAAGCGCAGGAGGGGCAGAGGAAGAGAGAGAATCTCAACCAGGCTCCGCGCCCAGTGCAGCGCCCAACATGGGGCTCGAGCCCACAACCATGAGATCATGACTGGAGCTGAAATTAAGAGTTAGACCATCAACTAAGCCACCATGTGCCCATGTGTTCTTTCTTAGTGTCTTTGTGTGTTTTGGCATCGTTACTTGATTCTGAATTTGTGAGTTTGTGTTTATTTCTTCTTCACTCTTTCCATATCTACCTGGTTTCCAAAAGCCCTAATGGTTTCATAGCTGCCTCCAGCAGCCCTTATTCTTCTGCATCTTGTAGTTCAAAACTAGAACTTGAAGTGGAATTTTGAGGTTCCTAGACAGTGGTAATAGTAGATATACCACATATCGAGTCACAAGGCCAGTCACAATCTACTTCCAGGTCAGGGAGCTGCTGTGTGTCCTTCACTCTCTGCTAAAAGCCATGATCCAAGGGGTTGAGCACTTTTTCCTGTCTCCTTTTTTGAGGGCTGGGGACAACAGAAGTTGGGAATGGAGGTTTGAGCCTGAGTTTGTCTGATTAGTTTTCCATTTTTATTTTATTTTTTTTTAATGTTTTATTTATTTCTAGGAGAGAGAGAGACAGCGTGAGCAGGGGAGGGTCAGAGAGAGAGGGAGTCACAGACTCTGAAACAGGCTCCAGGCTCTGAGCTGGCAGTCAGCACAGAGCCCGACGCGGGGCTCGAACCCACGAACCGTGAGATCATGACCTAAGCGAAAGTCGGACGCTTAACCGACTAAGCCACCCAGGCGCCCCTAGTTTTCCATTTTTAGATTTACATCTACTAGTGATATGTTTTTGGAGCAGAGCGGGTAAGTCAAAGTTGATCTGAAGTCCTAAATAGCTTTCTTACCACCTCCCTCACTGCCACCCCCAGGTTCAGGCCACCATACCTCTTGCTGGTATGACTGCAGCAGCATCCTAACTCATCTCTGTGCCTCCAGTCTTTCTTCCCCCAAGGTCAGGGGGCTTGTTATAAAATGTAATCCCACTCACATCACTACCCTGCCTAAAGTCTTTTTTCTTTTAATGTTTTATTTATTTCTGAGAGAGAGAGAGAGAGAGAGAGAGACAGCGTGGGCAGGGGAGGGTCAGAGAGAGAGGAAGACACAGAATCTGAAATAGTCTCCAGGCTCTGAGCTGGCAGTCAGCACAGAGCCTGACACGGGCCTCGAACCCACCAACCGTGAGATCACGACCTGAGCCGAAGTGGACCACCCCGCCGGCTGAGCCCCCGGGCTCCCTCCCTACCTAAAGTCTTTAATGACACTCTGATGTCACAACCAGTAGCAGAGATGGTGTGAAATCACCAGCCCAACGTGGAGAAGGAAGGAAAGAATTTAAGTTGCAGGTTCTTAGTAATCACAGGCAAAGGAATACTAACTCCTGTCCAGTCATTTAAGATAGAAACATTCGCAAAAGAATGAAAACGTCATTACCTCCCTGAAAATGTGGAATGATCTCGGTACAAGGAAATAGATTGGAAACATTCTCTAGATCTCATATAGAATCAACACCTTCTTAGAACACGTGACAATCATTTAGAAATCAAAACTAATGTGATCTGGTTGGTGACTCCAAAAGTTGGGAAGCATAGCTAGATCACAAAAGAAGTATTCAAATGTCCACTCAAGAAATAGTTATTGAATATGTCCCACTCACAAAGCACTGTGGAGAAAGCAAGATGTGTAGCTCCCTTCAAGGCCCTCACAAGGTAGTAGGCAAAGTGACATTTACAACTACCAAAATGTCGATTGTGGGTTGGATGGTGTTCCCAAAAGATGTGAAGGCCTAGCCCCCCAGTACTTTAGAATGTGACCTTATTTGGAAATAGAATCCTTGTAGCTGTAGTTTCTTAAGATGCAGTAGTACTGAAGTAGGATGGGTACTTAATCCAATAGAGAAAGGCATAGAGATATAGACACAGGAGGGAAACATGATGTGACAATCAAGGCAGAGACTGGGGTGATAGAGCCGCAAGCCAAGGAATCCTGAGGACGGAGGGCTGCTGACAGAAGGTAGGAAACAGGCAAGGATTCTCCCCATAATCTTCAGAGGGAGTACAGCCCCGCTGTCACCTTGATTTAGGACTTCTAGCCTCCAAAACGGGGAGGCAATACATTTCTGTTGTGTTAAGCCATTCAGTTTGTAGTACTTCGTCACGGCAGCGCTAGGAAACTAATACATTATAAGCAAAATGGCAAAATGGAAATGAGTCATTTCCAGATTAAGAATGACTTCTAGAGGACATGGCATTTGTGCTGAGCTTTAGTAGGATGATTTTTATATGCAGAGATGGCAGCAAGGGAAGCAGCTTTATATGGTCTTCATGTCAAACCAAATGCCAGCCTGGAGCCCAAACCTTCTTGAGAAGGCTCTCTGGACACCGGGCTGAATTCGCTCCACTTTAATGCCTTCAACCTACTGTCAATTTTGCCACTAACATCACTCTCAAGATACAAAATCCAAGAGAACAAAATATTTCACACATCCTTTATTATTTCTAGCACTGGTGTGCAGTGGTTAAGTACTATTTGCTTTCACTAGCTTGTTATCACACCCATAAAAGGGGGAATCCACCTCATAGAGACCTTCGAGAGCAGTAGCTAATTAAAATCTTAATCTAACCAAAATAGACACGATAGTAACTGGAAATGCGGCTTGGAATAACTTGTAATGCTCTTGACCTTGTCTTACGATGTCTTCCCAGTGATGCTTCTCGGTTGTTATGACCACAGGCAAGATACCCCAGTTTAGCAGTTGTAAATAAATTCTCGTTTATACGAGAGATACCCAGTGGTAAATAAATTCTCGAAATTTCAGTGATCGTTTGGGGGACGGGGAGAGGGTTGTTGCTCTACTCACAACTCAATCTTACATTTGGGTGTCAGATCAAATCGACAGATGCTACACGGATTTTATACTACATCACAGGCAACTACCACCTCCATCTCAGAAAAACGAGAGCGTCCTGGGGGGTCTGAGGTCGCCCCTAGGCACCTCCTTCTCCTGGGAAGGAACGATCAAAAGGGCGTTTTCATCTGACAGTTCTGCCTGAAATATGAAGCTCAAAGTACGAGATGCTCCTCGTAATCTCCGGAGGAGCCTGAAACAGCACGTTCATCGCCCGCACTTTGAGTGGGGCGTGGTCTGGGCCTCCTCTGAAAAGGGGCCCCAACTAGTCAGAGTCCGCAGGACCCCAGGGGGGCAAGTACTGTACTTCGTGGCCCAAGGCCCACGAACCAGCCGAGGAACCACGTCCAGCTGCCTCCCGACGTGAGGCGCAAGCCACGAAAGCCACCTCCGCTCCCGCTCCGCCATCAAGGAAGCGTCTCTCGCCGCCGCGCCGCCCCGGGCTCGCTTCCTTCTCCGCTCCCACGACCTCCTCCGCCCCGGCCGCTCGGCCCCCCGCCCGGCCACGCCCCAACGGCAGGCCCCAGCGGAGGCCCCGCCCCCTCGCCCGGGCCCCGCCCCCTCTGGCGGCGGGAGCCACGCCCCCGGAGGCGCGGCGCGGGCTGCGGCGGGCGGAGGCGGGGCGGGAGGGCAGGGGTAGGGGTGGGGGCGGGGGGCGGGCGGCGGGATGCAGGACCCGGGCGGGACCTGGCCGGGCGAGGCGGGGGGAGGAGTCGTGGAGGGGCCTCCCGCCTACTCCTCCGCGGGCTCGGCCTCGGAGGCGGGGCACCCGGACGCGGAGCAGCCCCGAGCTCCCGAGTCGCCGCCGCCGGGGGCCTGGCGCTCCCCTCGACCGTGGGGCGCCGGGTTGTGCAGCCGCCGGCGGAACATGGCGCCGTGGACGTTCTGGCGCTGCTGCCAGCGCAGCGTGGGCTGGGTGCCGGTGCTCTTCATCACCTTCGTGGTCGTCTGGTCCTACTACGCGTACGTGGTGGAGCTGTGCGTGTGTGAGTACCGGGCGGGGGCGGGGGCCGGGGGGGGGCCCGGGGCGGGCGCGGGGCCGGGCCTCTGCGGCCCCGCGCCCCGCCGGCCTGCGCCTGCCGTCGCCGGGCCGCCGGGCGCCGGCCCCGAGCGGGGAGGAAGCCCAGGCCGCCGCGCCCGCGGCTTTGTCGCGGCGGTGCGGGGCGGCCTTCCGGCGCGCGCGACACCCCGCGCCGAGCCGCGCTCCTCGCTCGGGCCGCGGTCGGGGCGGAGCGGGGCGGGGCTGGCTCCCCGGCGGGCGCCCGGTTCTCCCGGGGAGGAGCGCGCAAGGAGCCGCCGGACACCGTCCGAGGTGTGCGCGCGCGCGCGCGTGCGTGTGCGTGTGTGTTGCAGTCTTTGCTTTTGTTAATGTCCTAAAATAAAGAAATCGCCCAAGCGGCGCGGGCAGGAGCCGTGTTCCCGAAGAGCGGCCCGGGGGCGCGCGGGGGGGACAGGTGGTGTGGTCGCCGTCCCGGCTGACGGCACGCGGTGTGGCCGTGCACGAATGAGCCCGCTTCTGGCTCCTCGTGGCGCCGGACCCGAGTTAAAGTTCATTCCTTTCGAGCCTGAACCCAGCAACTTACACAGAATGTTGTTTGAAGACCCAGGGAGCGAGTGAGGTGACCGAGAGCCCGAGTCCCTCCTTCTCGGCGGCGGCTATGGGCGGGGCGTTTGAGGCCGTCGTTCGTTCCCCGCGATTCTCTCGTTCGTGCCTCGTCCCCGGCTTCTCATCAGGTTCCCCCGGAACAACAGCAGCAGCAGCAACAGGGAGTAACCCTGGGTGCGCTCCAGGGATGTGCGGTTCTGATCCGAGGAACCTGCGTTAAGATGGAGGGACCTGTTTGTAATCAGGACGTCGCTTGAGGTGTCGCCGGGATTGGCGGCTCTGCCCTAATGGCCCCCGGCTCTGAGGGAGCCGCTACTTGGGGCCTTTCTAGCGTCTTCTCCGTGTGTCTGCTGTTGACGCGAGGGCTTCGCGGAAACTGCGGACCGAGTGCCGGGGGTGTTGCTGGAAGCGTCCCCGCGCGGCCTGGCCTGTCTCCCGGCGGAGCCCGAAGCCGTCGGAGGACCCTCGTCAGAGACACTCGGTAAAGGGCCCCGCGGGGTCGGCGGCTCCCAACGGGACGAAATGGAGAGTAGGCGGCCGCCCGGGACCCCGCAGCCCCCAGCCCGGCTCTGCACGTGAGAGAATGAGGAGAATGCGCTGCTGCAGGAAGCTGACGGGTCGGCTTTTAAGCGAAAATAACCACCTTCAACAAAATGATTTTGTACCCACAGAACGTTCAGTTCTAAGGGAGGCGATCCCTGCAAGTAGGCCCCGAATAAGTTAGTTGTAAATAATAACGGAGGTAATCTGTTGAGCGTTATTGAAAAATGATGTTTGAGGGGCGCCTGGGTGGCTCAGTCGGTTAAGCATCCGACTTCGGCTCAGGCCATGATCTCACGGTTCGTGGGTTCGAGCCCCGCCTCCCGCTCTGTGCTGACAGCTCAGAGCCTGGAGCTGCTTCAGATTCTGTCTCCCCCTCTCTCTCTGCTGTCTCTCTCTGTCTTTCAAAAATAAGTAAACATTTAAAAAAAAGAAAAATGTTTGAATCCATTAAAAATGACTAGATTTAGGTATTTCTTGAAGCTCCTTCCGGAAAGTGATAGCGATCATAGGGTTCTCTTCTGCTTCTGATCATACTTGATCTTATTTAATCTGAAGTGGGCGTTTATTCCAGAAGTTGCAGCAGATTTATCTAATTTTGTCAGAAGATTATTCCTACACTATTCTAATTCCGCACTGACATTGAAGTAAAGCTTGTGAAGGAACACGGTCACGTTGAAGTCACACATCTTAACCTATAGATGGTTTTCGGCAAAAGTGTCGAAAGGTGACCTTAAGCGTAAGGAAAGGGAAAGGAACAGGAATTGGGAAGTGCTATGTGCTCCCGTGGACAGAGGGACATTTCATTCATTCTCTCCTTCCAGCCTCGGTACCTCAGAGCACAGGTGTGTCTGCAGGTGTGGGAGGGGGACCCTGGGCGCGCAGGGCGGCCGTTGGTTGTGTCAGGCAGTAGCTGAGTGGCTGATGCGCTGTGATCCACATCCTTGCACTCTCCAGGTAGCTTTTAGGGAGTCAGGGGAGTGGTCATTGTTTGTTCCCTGATAGGGGGAGGGGATTGGGCGGGGATATGTGGCTGCCCTTTCTGGAGATCAGAACTTGAGTTAGGCCGTAGGCCCATCATTTAGAGATCATACCATACCCCAGGATTTCATGACGGTACACACTCTGCACCCATGAAGGCCCAATGCTTGACAGAATTTTAAAATACTCAGTAGTGAAAGGTCTTACATAGGGCCTGCATTTAATACTTATAAGATTGGGGCGCCTGGTGGCTCAGTCGGTTAAGCCTCTGACTTCAGCTCAAGGTTATGATCTCATGGTTCGTGAGTTCAAGCCCCGCCTCTGGCTCTGTGCTGACAGCTCAGAGCCTGGAGCCTTTTGTGGATTCTGTGTCTCCTTCTCTCTCTCTGACCCTTCCTCTCTCTCTTTGACCCTCCCATACTCACACTCTGTCTGTCTCTCTCAAAATAATAAATAAACATTAAAAAATTTTTAATGCTTCTAAATTATCTGAGTTTCACTAGGGAGGATTTGGGAGGTGGGCAGTATCATGGGACTGTATGATTGAGCATAAAAGCTCATTTCACTTTCGTAGTAAAACTATCCTTTACTACTTATATATATTTATGTTTTCATAATATTTATGTTTTCATTACACTGACCCTGCCACTACAATATATCAATACATAACTTTGCTTTAAATTGAGTGAAATGTGAGTGTTACTTAAAGTGCTGTTTTAGCATTATTTACAATAAGTAAACTCCAGGGGCGGCGGCGTGGCTCAGTCGATTAAGTGCCAGGTCAGGTCATGATCTCACGGTTCGTGGGTTTGAGCCCCATGCCGGACTCTGTGCTGACAGCTCGGAGCCGGGAGCCTGCTTTGCATTCTGTCTCCCTCTCTCTCTTCCTCTCACACTCACATTCTGTCTCTCTCTCTCAGAAATGAATAAAGATTTTTTTTAAAAAACCCACAACAACAGTAGCTAAACCACAGAAGTAGCCCAAGTATCCATTGGTTGATGAATGGATAAAGAGGAGATGGTGTATATATGCAAGGGAATATTACGCAGCCACAAAAAAGAACGAAATCTTGTCATTTGCAACAGCACGAATGGAGCTAGAGAGTATTATGCTGAATGAAATCAGTCAGAGAAAAACAAATATCATATGATTTTACTCTTAGGTGGAATTTAAGAAACAAAACAAATGAGCAACAGGGGAAAAAAGAGGCAAACCCAAAAGTAAACTGTTAATTACAGAGAACATAGGGGAGGTAGGTGAGAGGATGGGTAAAGTAGGTGAAGGGGATTAAGAGTACACTTGTCTTGGGGCGCCTGGGTGACTCAGTCGGTTAAGCGTCCGGCTTCGGCTCAGGTCATGATCTCACGGTTCGTGGGTTCGAGCCCCGCATCGGGCTCTGTGCTGACAGCTCGGAGCCTGGAGCTGCTTCAGATTCTGTGTCCCCCTCTTTCTCTGACCCTCCCCTGCTCACGCTGTCTCTCTCTCTCTCTCTCAGAAATAAGTAAAACATTAAAAAAAATTTTTAAAGAGTACACTTGTCTTGATGAGCATGGAGTAATGTATGGAATTGTCGAATCAGTATATTTTACACCTGAAATTAACACTGTATGTTAACTGCATGAAAGTAAAATAAAAAGTGATGTTTTAATAATTTTTATAGACTTCCTTCCTGGCAATTTTTTTAAAATCAAACTAGATGGGAAAGGATGATTACATCTTTACTGTGTTAATTCATTTAATACTCAAAAGTTAAATAATTCGTCCAAGGTCATGCAAGTAGTAAATGGCATCATCAGCATTTGAAATCAAGGGGTTTGGCTCTAAAGCCCGTGCTTTTAAAATTAACTGCTGTGCAAGACTAGTCTCCTTGCTTATCAAGATCTGTGCACTGAAGGCAGGTTTCAGTCTTCTCTGTGATACATAATATCAGGTGATGTTCTCCTAAAAGGTAGCAGCAGCGGGTTCCTAAATAGACCGTCAAGACGCTGGCCCCCTGGAGGACAGTGAAACAAACAGTCTGTGAGACGCCCTCGTTCCACTCAGCGCCCGTAGCTTTCTGGTTTTGTAACTCCGCACGCACACAGGCAACGTGTGAGTCGTGCCACCGGCGGTAGCGACATTGAAGACGACAGGAAGTGATGAACTGAAGGCGGCCGTGCTACAAGGGCGATAAGCGGAGAAACAACGATTAAGTCATTAGTAATACTGGTGCTTGATGTTAAGTTAAACTGAACCCTTTTGATTTTTCTCCAAGGCTGATACTTAAACACGCATTTATGGGCGGGTTGCCCCATTTTTACACTTTGGTGCAGGTGGTTCTTTCTTTTTTTTTTTTTTTTAATATTTTTATTTAGGGGAGAGAGAGAGAGACAGCGTGAGCAGGGGAGGGTCAGAGAGAGAGGGAGACACAGACTCTGAAACAGGCTCCAGGCTCTGAGCTGGCAGTCAGCACAGAGCCCGACGCGGGGCTCGAACCCACGAACCGCGAGATCATGACCTAAGCGAAAGTCGGACGCTTAACCGACTAAGCCACCCAGGCGCCCCTCAGGTGGTTATTTCTGAGGGAAGTGCTCATTTGGGTTCCTCGAGTGTTAGGGGGACGCCTCGCTCAGGTCGTTTAGACATGTCAGCAGCAGGTGTGTAGCTCGCGCGGCATGCAGCGGGCCTGAGAGCCCTCGGCCCATTTCGTTTACTCCCGAAGGAAGTGTTGCACGCAGGGCCCCTGCGGCGTGCCCGGGGTGGGCTGTGCGGCTTTTTTTAGAGGGAAGGAAGTAGACTAGAAAGGTGGCCTCTGAGCCTGTGTATCCAACATTCCTGTGTCTCCTTCATACTTTTCTTCAAATTTAGAACGAGGCAAG